GTATACTTAGATATCTTCATCCAAGAGATAGAGATGAAGAAAGAATAAACGATTTAAAGAAGTATGAGTTTTCACTTAACACTAAAGGAATTACTTTTCCAATGAAAGTAAATAATATTACTCAATTTGAAAAACTTAATCCAGATATTCCAGGAATAAATGTTTTTTCTGAAGATGGTAAAATGATTATTTATCCTTTGAGAGAGGCAAAGAGAGATTGTAAAAATACTATTGATTTATTTTTGTACGAAGAAGATGGTGCCTCACATTATTCTCTTATTAAAAATTTTCACAGGTTAGTAAGGTCTCAAAAAACTACAAGTCATAATGGTAAAATATTTATTTGTAAGAGATGTTTTAGTCATTTTAAAAAGGAAGAATTATTAGATAAACATATCAAATATTGTAGTAACAATGCAACAGCTTTTGTAAAAATGCCAGAACCAAACACAATGTTATACTTTAAAAATTATCACAAAAAACTTCCTATTCCTTTTGTAGTTTATGCAGATTTTGAATGTTTTACCAAACCAATGAATAGTTGCAGTCCTAATCCAAAAGACTCTTATAATTATAACTATCAAAAACATGAACCATCAGGATTTTGCTTTTATGTAAAGGGAATAGTAGATAAAAAAATTAAACCAATCATTTATACAAAAACCTCCGAAGATGAAGATATATCAAAAGTATTCGTGGAAAAACTTGCGGAAGTAACTAAAGGAATTTATAACGATTTTTATCAAAGACCAAAACCTCTTAGACTAACTAAGGAAGAACAAAAATCATTTGAGAAAGAAGTTATATGTCATATTTGTAGCCGTGAATTAAAAAAAGATAAAGTTAGAGATCATTGTCATTTTACAGGTCAGTATCGCGGAGCAGCACATAACAAATGTAATCTTATGTGTCGTAAACCAAGAGTACTACCAGTTATATTTCACAATCTTCAAGGATATGACGCTCATTTGTTTATAAAACAAATTGCTAAATTAAAAGGAAAATTAAACTGTATTCCATCAACAGAAGAAAAATATATTTCATTTTCAAAAAGTATTAAAGTTGGTGAGTATTATTGTTTAAAACTTGGAAAAATGATTGATGTAAATTTTGAAATACGATTTTTAGATTCATTCAAGTTTCTTCAAACATCACTTGCCAATCTTGTTTCAAATTTATCAGCAGATGATTTTCAAAATACAAAACATGTATTCAATAAAAATGTAGATTTACTAACTCGTAAGGGAGTTTATCCTTATGATTATGTTTCATCACTTGATGTATTATCAGAAACATGTTTACCACCCAAAGAGGAATTTTACTCCCAACTAAATGACGAAGATATATCAGATAATGATTACCAACACGCTATTCGCGTTTGGAAAACTTTTGAATGTAAAACAATAAGAGATTATCACAATCTTTATCTGAAATCTGATGTATTATTGTTAGCAGATGTATTTGAGTCCTTTAGAAAAACTTGTCTCAAACATTACAAACTTGACCCAGTTCACTATTACACATCTCCAGGTCTAGCTTGGGATGCTTGTCTAAAAGAAACAGGTCAGCAATTACAGTTACTACATGATTATGATATGTTAATGATGTTTGAACGTGGTATACGTGGTGGAATAACACACATATCAAAAAGATATGCGGAAGCGAATAACAAATATATGAAAGATTACAATCCTGATAAGGAGTCAACATTTATTCAATATTTAGATGCAAACAATCTTTATGGTTGGGCGATGTCTCAAAATCTTCCTACTCATGGATTTAAATGGATGAAAAATATTACAGTAGAAAAGGTAATGGATATTCTAGAGAAAGCAAATCATAGTATGTTAAATCTTGGGAAAAAAGGATATATATTTGAAGTTGATTTAGAGTATCCACCTCACCTATGGGAAACACATAATAACTATCCTCTTGCACCTGAGAAGATGATTGTTAATGGTGTTGAAAAACTAATTTGTCATTTTAAACCCCGAAAGAATTATGTTGTGCATTATCGAAATCTTAGACAGTATCTTGAGTTGGGTATGAGGCTTACTGCTGTTCATAGAGGAATATCATTTTACCAATCTTCTTGGATGGAACCTTACATAAGAAAAAATACAGAACTTCGAAAAACAGCAGCTAACAGTTTTGAGAAAGACTTTTTCAAACTAATGAACAACTCAGTTTTTGGTAAAACAATTGAAAACATAAGGAAGAGACAAAATATAGAACTTGTTGATAATCGTAAAAAAGCTGTCAAGCTAACAAGTAAACCCAACTTTGATAGAGTGACTATATTTGATCGCAATCTTATAGCAGTTCATATGAAGCGGACAGAAGTGTATTTTAACAAACCAGTGTATGTTGGTCAAGCAATTCTAGATTTATCAAAAACACTGATGTTCAATTTTCATTACACATATATTAAAGAGAAATATGGTAAAAAAGCAGAATTATTGTTTACAGATACAGATAGCCTAATGTATGAGATTAAAACAAAAGATTTTTATCTTGATATATGCGCTGATGTAAGAGATAAGTTTGATACTTCTGATTATCCCTCCATCCATCCTTCTGGGATAATTACAGGAGCTAATAAAAAAGTGATTGGAATGTTTAAAGATGAAGTTGCAGGAAAACAGATAACACATTTTGTTGGATTGCGTCCCAAACTTTATAGTTTTAGAATTGAGGAGGAAAGGGAAGTAAGAAAGTGTAAAGGAATAAAGAAAAATATTGTAAAAAAGAAAATAGATTTTGATGACTATGTTAAATGTTTATTTTCAGGTAATAAAGAAATGAGAAAGATGAAAATAATAAGAAGTGAAAAACATGATATATATTCAAAGGAAGTAAATAAAGTAGCGTTAAGTAATGAAGATGATAAAAGAAAGGTCCTTAAAGATAATGTTCATACTTTGGCTTTTAGATAAAAAAAAATATTTAAAAGTAAATAAAGTATAAATAATAAATGTCATATACAGAAGAAGAAATAAAAAAATATCTGGGTATACTACATAAATATAAAGTTGAGAGTAAGGGGATTAATAGGGGTTGTTCAAATTGTTCAAATACTGAATTTTTTACAATAGATTCTGGGTACAAAATTTGTGATGAATGTGGTACAGAAAACGGCCATGTATTAGGATTATTTGATGTAAAAGATTTGGATAGGTTACATTATAGAAAAAAGAGTATTTACCATAGGAAATACCACTATGAGAAAAAGGTAAATGAAATTTCTAAAAGAATAAACCTAAATGATGAAGAAAAATGTGAACTTTACGATAAACTAACAAAAATAGATAATCATATCATGGAAATACTAAACAAGCAATACTTCAGAAAGAGAATGATAAATATTAATTATTTAACCAAAAAAATTTTGGAGGAGATGGGTTGTGAAAAGTATAAACTTATTGTACTTAAGATTAGTTCTATAACTTTAGAGATTTATGAAAAATGGTGGAATTGTTATAAAGGGTTAAATAAATAAATATTTTTAATAAAATGAGTAATCAAGTTGCTAATACACCTAAAATTGAAGCAAAAGAATTGTTTTTACAAGTTCAAGAAGGAGAAGTTTTTTATTTGAATATTTTTTTGAAAGTTATAGGCCACCAGATGGAATATCTGAAGAAGATTACATGAAAGAATTAAAGAGTGAGTATTGGAAATTAAAAAGAGAAGAAGCAAGAAGATTGTTAAGAATGAAATAGTTATATATATATAACTAATTAAAGAATAGTATAGTATAATTAAATGAACAACATTATTCTAAAAATTAGGGAAAAAGAAAATAAAGTTTTAAACATTAGAAATAAATGTGATATTGCTTTATATTATTTTGATGAAATTAAGCGATGTTTAATTAATGATCCTCTTAATAAACCTTTGGATATAAAACCAAAAAAATATTATATCCTGGTTTAATAGATTATCATTAGAGGAAAAAAATTTTCTTGGTCTAAATGAAATGGATTTTATATTTTTTAGTGTTTATTCTTAGATAATTTTATATTTTTAAAATATAAAATTTAATCTTCTAAGTAACTATATCCAGTTTCAAATACTCTAAAAATATCTAAAAATGATTCTTTTTTAAAATACAAATCACCATCAATTTCCTCATCTAAATTTAAATCAATAAGAGTTAAATATATTCCACTTGTATCAATACCATCATCTTTCATTGCTTCATCCACAAGTTTTGAAGTGTATTCAAATTCTTTTTTTATTAAAAAAAACTTTCTAAAAATGGTTTATGTAATTCATTTTTTTCACCTTTTTTGTTTGAATAAATAATATGATTACAAACAAGATTATTAAGGAATTTTGGTTGTTCTATTTTTATTTCTTCAAAATTATTGAGTATATACTCATTATTTAAAAAATCAAATATTTCTTTTAGTAGTTCTTTAGCAAGACGATCTAAATCTTTTTTTCTAATAACTACTTCATCCATTTTATTTAATGGTTATATTATTCCTTTATGAAAACACCAGTAAATTATCCCAGTAAGATAACCAAGTACTTCACATTTTTTAAAAGGTGAGTTGATAGCATATACACATCCTCTTCCAATCCTATAGTGTTTCCAGAAAGCTTTAAAAGCGAGACTGAATATTAGATGATTGGTAATGATATTTGAATCAGAATTTAGGTAGTGCCTTACTTCTATAAGTTTGTAAATAATTTGGTCTATATCTAGTTTTTGCGTAAAATACTTTGAATAGAGAAACTGGTATACAAGACAAGCTTTTATGAAGTTTTCTGGATAAAGAGGAGTTTTATAAGTTGGAAAGTAAAGATTAACATATTCCACTATTGTACTAATCATTTTCTATTTAATGATTAGAATAAAAAAAATTAATTATTGATTAAAGAAATATTTTTTAATATAAATGGCTAACATGATTGAGAAAAGTTATAAAAATGAAGATTTAGGAATTGAGTTAAAATCTTATATTGACAAACAGCAAAATGTCTGGTTTGTTGGTAAAGATGTAGCTGAGATACTTGGCTATAGTAAAACAAGAGATGCATTATCACGTCATGTTGATAATGAGGATAAAAAACAAATATTTACTTATCATACCAGCGTCCACAAAACGGGGACGGTGGCTCCAAGTGGTAGTATGTGCACTTATATTAATGAATCCGGTTTCTATTCCCTTGTATTATCCTCAAAATTAGATACAGCCAAGTCGTTCAAAAGATGGATAACCTCAGAAGTTCTTCCATCCATCCGTAAATATGGTTATTTTAAAATGTTTGATAGTCCTTGGAATAAAATGTTTAAAATAGAAAATGAGACAGATCTTCATTACAAAGTTATACAGCTAATTAGAAATTATTATCCTGATTCTATATTAGTAGCTGGACTGGGAGAGAATCAAGATACAGAGGACAAGAGACTAGATTCCTATAAAAAAGGATATCAACGAGGTCAACCAGATATAATGATTTTAGATTATCACAAGGACTACAAAGGTCTGTGTATTGAATTCAAATCACCCACAAACAACTATTGTATATCAGAATCACAGCTGAAGACTAAAGAGAAAATATAAAGCTAATGATTATGCTTTTATCATAAGTAATGATTATGATTATATCAGTAAGAAGATACATAAATATATGACTGGTGTTAGAATTAAATGTCAATTTTGTCCCAAAGCATTTTGTAGTAAAAAAACTCTAAATAGTCATTTAAAAGTATTTCATAGAATTGAAAATAAAATTTAAAGAATTAATATATCTAGATAAATGGAAGATATACTTAGAAAAAGAGAACAAAAGTTAATCAAAGAAGGATTAAATTTTATAGACTCTTTTGAAGAATATACTAGCAAAAATAATCCTGTTATTTACAAAAAATATTTAGATCTTAGGGATAGAATAATTATAGATGTTTCATCCAAATGGTGGAGACATATAAAAATTTTAGAAAATGTTAAATATGACGAAAGAAATTTAGGTATGTATGATGATATGTTTATAGAAATGGAACACTATATAAACACTTTTAAACCAAAAGTGTTTATAGATAGAGAAAATCTTAGACAAATATATGATATTATTAAAATTATAAATGAAATTAGTAAACTACCAGATCAAACAAGATTAAATTATGTTTTGAAATGCAAACCTTTTTTTCTTATTAAAATATATATATTAAATAATAAAATTTTTCTTTCAGATTAAATGTTAATTTTAATATTTAATCTATATATTAAATTTCTTTTTATATTTCTCAACAAAGTTATCAGCACTTGATGGACATTGATCAATTATCATTTCATCCAGAATCTTAATACGATCTACAAACTCTTCCTTATTCCACTCATCTCCTCTGAGTGCAGAACGTAGTTCTACTAATACTTTTTCATAAGTTGTATAAGCTAACTTTGTTGTTTCTATCTTTTTCTTTAAATCCTTCTTTTTTGCAATTCCAGCCACAATTACTCCTGCTCCGTTTATTACACCAAGAATAATAGGATTGAGTGTTAGTCCTCCTGTTATAGTACCAACAGAAATAAGAGATAAACTAGTAATAGTAAAAAATTATCTAAAAATTTATAAGATTTATAAGATTTTTTATAACACCATTGTTTCTTATGGTAATGTTTATAGAGATTAGTAATAGTGTTATATTGTTCCTCTGATAAATCTTTATCAATATGATTAAATTCAAAAATACTCTTTCTTTTACTACTATTTCTTTTCATTTATTCTTTTGTTTACATTATTGAGCAGTAGCTTTCCTATAATACATAACTTCCATTTAACTTTTCTTGAAGAAATATTTTGTGAAATTCTACAGAGTCAGTGTCGTAAAAGTTTGGTGAATACATAAACTTTTCTATTACTCCATCTTGATTTAAAAACTCAAATTTTTGATTAGCTGAATAACTAACAACTGGGCAAACTAATTCTGCGGAGTAGTTACTTATGTTAACTTTTGTAGTACTTGTTTTAATACTTTCTGTTATCCATAAAACTACTTTTTTTCCATTAAGACTACTTGGGATTGGTATATTTTTTCTTGTATTACTGATATGTATATTTAGTGTATTATTTACATTAAGATAATATAAAAATAAAAGTTGATTATTATTTATATCTTTTTTAGTTATGCTAAAATTCCTATTTCTCCAATGAGTAAAAACTAAACATAATGTGTAACTTGTTTGCCCAGTATCAGATGAGTAAGAAATAGTATAACCATTAACATTCAATCCATCTTTTTTTATAATGTCAACTGTTTTATATGGAAAAGTAAGATTTCTTGCAGAATTACCTGTAACCGAGGATAACGCATTAAAAACAACTCCAGATGCTTGTTTATTTAATACATAACTATTTGCATCAGTAAAGTCAAAGAATTCACTAAAATATTTTCTGTAAATAATATTTGTTGTATAATCAACTAACTCATTCACCATAGCAACTGTTGCAGCGCTATTGTTACTGTTTCTATCGAGAGCAATATTTAGTATTTTTTTATTATTTGTGTTAATGTCAACATTATACGCCACTTCTGTTGGTTTAATATCAAATGCGGTGTGATAATCGTAAACTTTATCTGGATCGATATTACTAAATGTACCCATAATACCATAAGCAATCATATAAACACCTAAAAACTGTCTCGGATATGTAGACAAGTTATATCCACCACGAAGAATATCAACCAAAATGTGAAGAAAGAACTTATTCCCAGTTAACAACTTTCGGAAATTAACTATTATTCTGTGGTAGTACATAGTTTGTGTTTTCCCTGTTGAATCGGTATACCTATGGGATAGTTTTTTTACACCTACATTTCCAATTGACAATCCTGTTGAAGTTCCTTTGTCAACACTTATTTTAGTATTATTCCAAAGATTATAATCAGTGTTGAGTATTTCTAAACACAACGTGTAATCAGTATTTGCAGCTAGTCTGTAAAAATTAATTCCCATCTTATAAATATATTTACCTTGAGAATTTTTGATTATAGTCATGAAAATTACTTTGTGGTTATAGTCATGAAAATTACCTTTAGAAGGAGATAAGTCTCCTATACTTCTTATACCAAAACTAACTCCTCCATCTATTTCATCAGTCCATTGAGATCCACTTGACATGAGATAAGCAAACTCATCTTTATAATGACTTGGTTGAACTGCAGTATGATGAACTAGATTGTCGACATAACCTTTGGTTACTGCTTCATTGTCTTGGGTTGGTACACCCAGATTCTCTATTTTATTACCACCAAGGTTAACATCAGCTTTTACAACCCCACTTATTACAATTTTAGGTGTGTTGATTTCTATTCTCTTAAGTGGTTTGGTCATCGCTTTGGGTAGATCAGTGAATAGCCGACAAGTGATAGCTGTGTGATTTGAATTGTTATGGGTTCTTAGTTTTACTCCTGCCATATTATAATTCCAAGACTTGTGAATATTTAATGACCAAGTGCCAGTTCGATTTCCACTTACCCAAAAGTTAGAATTGGAATGAGAGTTATCTCTGGGAATAAACCACAGAAAGTCAACATTTATATTTCGCGAACCAAATTGAAATTCTATTTTGTTAATGCATGTGTTAGCAGTTGGTGTCCATCCTACAAGAGGTTGACCAGGTGCTGATGTTGTAAAAACAAAATCATGAAATGATGAACCTGAGATATATTGTAGATATAAAGTCGTTGGCGCAGCTGGATTTGTTATAGTAAATACACCACTTGTTCCTTCTCCAGAATGATGATCAAACCTTTCTACTTGTTTACGAACCCATCCGCGATTAGCAGCTTGTTGATCTGTGGTGGGGTCACTGAGGTTAACTATTTTATTATTACCAAGATTAAGGTTACCAGTCATAGTGACGGTACCATCTTTTTCCAAGTAATCACTCAAATCTGGACTTCCAGCATTATCATCCACATATTTTTTGGTTGCAGCATCTGTATTTGATGTTGGAGTAGCGAGACCAACTATTTTATTGTTGTTAAGATTTAAGTTACCAGTCATTGCGACAGTACCATCTTTTTTCAAATAATTACTCATAGCTATATTATTTAATAGAAGTGTATCATCTACATATTTTTTGTTTGCAGCATCATTTAAGCTTGTTGGTAAAGCTAAGTGATTTATTTTTTTATTATTCATATTTAGATTATTAGACATACTATTTGTTCCAGTAACATGAAGATATTTTAAATCTGTGAAAGCTAGTGGTGTTGGTTGTTTGGGTCCATCTGGAGCTGGTATATTATATATTCGATTGTTGTCCATATTAAGATTTCCTTTCATTGGGTAAGATCCATCTCTGTCAAGAAATGTGTTGTCTACGTAATATTTTGTTGCTGGATCTTTAGAATCCTGTGGTGTGATAAGATTTTTAATTCTGTAATTATCCTTCATATCAATGTCTGAATCAACTGTTAGTCTTGATGTTGAGGGAGTTCCAGTGGAATTGTCATCAACATACTTTTTTGTTGCAGCATCAGTATTAGCACTAGGTGCACCAACATTTCTTAGTTTTTTATTTACCATATCATAATCTCCACTTGAAGTTAGATTAAAACCAACTCCTGGTGCTCCTTGTATTCCCTTAGCAAAGGGATAATCTGAAAATTGTTCGTTAAATATTCCCATTTTAATTATTGGTTAGATAACCAGTAAAGTTTTTTGCAATACGTTTTCTTGGTTTATCAACGTATAGAAATGAATATGGTTTTTTAGTTGCTGCTTTATAATCTTCTTTACTAACTCCTAACTCAGATGATATTCTATTAGACTCCCTCGATGATGGAAATTCGTATAAACAGTAATGAGAACAATTCAGGCGAATGTCCTTTGGTGTTTTATAAAACGATTGACTGAGGTATACCACCGAACAATTTTTATGCCGTCCTTGAATGAAATAATCAATCAGTTGTCTCTGGTTTTTATCACAAACATAGTCATCGAATATCACAAGTTTTTGATTGTCTTCATAATCCATTTCCGTCACTGGGGTTATTTCATCGTTACTAACATGAAGTATTTCATATCCCAGTTTACTACTCAACTCTCTCATTTTTTGAATTAGCTTTTGATACTTATCCTGTTCTAGATTACGCGCGTAAAGATAAATCTCATCATAATACAGTAGTGGCTTAATTAACATATGATACAGCAGATTAGTCTTACCACATCCACTATTTCCACAGATTAACATTCGAAATGTGTTTGACGGCATGTAAGGAAATAACTGTTTATATTTTTTATCTGGGTTGTCTCCACTATCATAGTTTGGTATTTCCATTTTATCTAATATACATATTAAATAAAAATGGATGTTGAAGAATACAAAAAACTTGCAAGAAATAAAATTGAAGCTGATGCTTTAACTAGACAGGTTAGAGATGTAATAAAAATAACAAAATGGGAAAAACAAAATATGAGAGAGGGTTTTAAAGAATCATTTAAACCACTTATTG